TCTCTCTCTCTCTCTTGCTCTCTATCTGTTTATATATCATTCTTAGTGTTTATATATATATATATATATATATATATATATATATATATATATATATATATATATATATATATATATATATATATATATATATATATATATATATATATATATATATATATATATATATATAATGTTGTGCTGAATAGGTAAAACTTGCTAACCAAACCACACCCCCGGCCGGGATTGAACCCGCGGTCATAGAGTTTGTGGTTTGTTTGCAATCGTGTCATTACGATTTCTTAAGTCAGTAAAACTTGCTATTTTGGCTTAAATATCAACGCTCTTCTTGCTGAACAAGGCAAGCGAAAATTTTGTGTATGCAATAATTTCACAAAAAAAAATCATTCTGAACCTAACGAAAATATATTTCATTGTGATTGTTTATAATTAAATTATTGTATACTTATCTAAAATATATTTAGCTGGGTTAGGCTAAATTAAATTGAGCTTGTTACAATAAGGTTTGGTAAATTTTCTAAGGTTCTTTTGGTACAAAATTATTATTTTTTTGCATTAACATAAATGAAAAAAAATATGAATTTTTTTTTAGAAAGGACTTAATTTTAAATGAGTTCTTGCTTATATATATATATATATATATATATATATATATATATATATATATATATATATATATATATATATATATATATATATATATATATATATATATATATATATATATATATATATATATATACATATATATAATTCTAGTCGTATATATACGCACATGTGAAATTTCACAAGTTAATATCAATTGTTGATGCCTCATCACATATCAGAAAAAATCGGTCAGATTTTGAGGGATTTATGTTTTGAATTCATTTTTTTTCTGATCGTTAAAATATACCATAGTAGATTTCAGAATCAAAAATCCTTTTAAAAATTATTACAAGCGACTTTTTTTGGTCTGCAGAGACTGAAATGTCTATATTAAAGCGTATTTTTACCACAGTCATCAGCAATGCCTTCCATCCCATACTTAAAAAAAAATCTGCGTTCAGAGGAAGAAAAAAAAACGAAGGAATTTTTCAAAATTTGACGACGAGGAACACGGGAAAAAAGGTGGGGTCTCGTTTCCAACAATTAATGGACACTTCGGAAACTTTCCAAACTCAACTTTTTTTTTTGACAGAGTTTCGCCCAACTTCGTTTTGGAAATGGCGTGTTAAGTTGCCTTCTAGCAAGTAACACAGCTCTCTTTCTCATCAAATAATAATAATAGTAGTAATAGTAGTAGTAGTAATAGTAGTAGTAGTAGTAATAATAGTAGTAGTAGTAACAGTAGTAGTAGTAGTAATAGTAGTAGTAGTAATAGTAATAGTAGTAGTAATAGTAGTAGTAGTAGTAATAGTAGTAGTAATAGTAGTAATAGTAGTAGTAGTAATAGTAGTAGTAATAGTAGTAGTAGTAGTAATAGTAGTAGTAATAGTAGTAGTAGTAATAGTAGTAGAAATAGTAGTAGTAGTAATAGTAGTAGTAGTAATAGTAGTAATAGTAGTAGTAATAGTAGTAGTAGTAGTAATAGTAGTAGTAGTAATAGTAGTAGTAATAGTAGTAGTAATACTAGTAGTAGTAGTAGTAATAGTAGTAGTAGTAGTAATAGTAGTAGTAGCAGTAATAGTAGTAGTAATAGTAGTAGTAGTAATAGTAATAGTAGTAGTAATAGTAGTAGTAGTAGTAGTAATAGTAGTAGTAGTAATAGTAGTAGTAATAGTAGTAGTAGTAACAGTAGTAGTAGTAGTAATAGTAGTAGTAATAGTAGTAGTAATAGTTGTAGTAGTAGTAGTAATAGTAGTAGTAGTAGTAGTAGTAATAGTAGTAGTAATAGTAGTAGTAGTAATAGTAATAGTAGTAGTAATAGTAGTAGTAGTAGTAGTAATAGTAGTAGTAATAGTAGTAGTAGTAGTAATAGTAATAGTAGTAGTAATAGTAATAGTAGTAGTAATAGTAGTAGTAATAGTAGTAGTAGTAATAATAATAGTAGTAGTAATAGTAATAGTAGCAATAGTAGTAGTAGTAATAGTAGTAGTAGTAGTAATAGTAATAGTAGTAGTAATAGTAGTAATAGTAGCAGTAGTAGTAATAGTAGTAATAGTAGTAGTAGTAATAGTAGTAATAATAGTAGTAATAGTAGTAGTAATAGTAGTAGTAATAGTAATAGTAGTAGTAGTAATAGTAATAATAGTAGTAATAGTAGTAATAATAGTAGTAGTAATAGTAATAGTAGTAGTAGTAATAGTAATAGTAGTAGTAGTAATAGTAGTAGTAATAGTAGTAGTAGTAGTAGTAGTAGTAGTAGTAGTAGTAGTAGTAGTAGTAGTAGTAGTAGAGGAATTCTGAAAAACGAACTTGACCACTGAATACTCACAAGTGTGCCAACTCAACCACCAAGTGTAAACGAAGACAATTCTACATCAGTTTGGGCAGCTATGTTATAGACTTAACAGAGCCTCCAGTGGAGACAAAGTTCACCTGTTGGGAACACTGTTATGCTAATGAGTAAAATCTCATCGTTTTAAGTATTTTATTCCTCTCACTGTCTATTCTTCGCCCTGTCCCTACTTGCCCCTCGCCCCTCGCCCCTCGCCCCTCGCCCCTCGTGGGTCCTCACCTGAGAGTCCGTGTGGAGTTGTTTTATTAAAAGGAACATTGGAAAGCATCATTTTCTTGCAGAGTTCATTTATTCTTGAGAGATTTTATTATTTTTAATTTTAATATTTAGGCATTTATTGGTAACGTGAATACTGAGCGGTCTTGGTGACCCCCGAATAGTCAATAGGTATTAATCCTCATTAACCAACGAGGGATTGTGAGAGCTCGATCCTCCGTCTGTTATAATCTTACTTAGGGGATTACATACTACTGTAACCTGCATCATGCTTTGTTATAGTGATTAAACATCGATCGAGGCCGTCAGAAGGGAAGAACAATGGCCTACCATGTTGTTTATGGGGATACTTATGAACGACTGAGGAAAAGAAGGAGAGTGAGGCCTGGAAGGAGGGTAAATAGAGGGAGGAGGACTGGAGAGTGGATAAGAGAGAGATTTTGTTTGGATTTTTAACCCCGGAGGGTTAGCCACCCAGGATAACCCAAGAAAGGCGTGCGTCATCCGGGGACTGTCAGTCTTATTTCCATTGGGGTCTTCAATCTTGTCCCCCAGGATGCGACCCACACCAATCGACTAACATCCAGGTGCCTACTTGCTAGGTGAACAGAACAACAGGTGTAAGGAAACTCGTCGAAATGTTTCCACCCCGAAGGGAATCGAACCCGGACTAGCGTGTGAAGCGAAAGCTATGCCAGCCAAGGTGACGTGGAGTTAGAGAGAAATAGACAAATACGAGGCAAAGATAAATGATACACACACACACACACACACACACCTTTCCTTGGGGTCGTCCCAGGAATAGTTGGAGAGATGGGTAAAAGAGCTTGTGTGTGTTTGGAGCACAGACATCCAGCAGACGTGTATGAGCGAGTTAGATAGGAGTGAGAGAAGGCAACTAGTTTTTTCTGACGACTTGCTGTCGAAGTGTGAGAGGGTGCGAGAGGGTGAAGTGTGAAGGGATACAGGGAGACCGTTTAGAGACTAGATGGACTTGAGTCCTGGAGGTGGTGAGTGTGTGTGTGTTTTAACTAGAATGTATAAGGGTGATGGACTGATTACATCGTCTTCAAGTATCTTCTGCCTCTATCAACTTTTCTGTACTCGACTGAAGAAGCCTACTGTGTAGGCGAAACGTTTCGAAATAAAGATACCTAACTGTTGCATATGTGTCTTACCTAACAACACAAGGAGTGAGTTAACTATCACAACGATGAGGCATTACCTGACTCCTACTAATCTGATCATGAACGGTTAACACCTGACTTAAACTGAGTTGACCCTTGAAAGGTTGAGAGCCATCGTTCTCAGCTTTACAACTCTATTGTCCAGCCTCTTTGGGAAGGCGATTATTGACCTGGGCGCGACTTGCTGAAGTATAACTGTCTTTCAGATAAAGCTTAGAAGTGATGCAAAAAAGTTTGATTCAACAATTCACCTTTTTTATTATAATTATCAGATTTGAACGCCAGTTTGCAATTAACACAATATTGTGGTGAAAATCAAGTTTATAACATAACACATTACAAACTTCCCTAACATTCCCTTCGTTTTCATACACACGCTTGTTGAAATATCTTCTGCTTCTCCTACATAATTTTTCTGATCATTGCTTGCAAGGCAGCAACAACACCCACATGTCAATGTTGTCGTTATGTTTAATTTTGACTACTAGTGATATTATTATAATCAAAAGAAGCGCTAAGCCACAAGGGCTATACAGCCTACTAGTGATATAATTACTGCATTCCAACGTTACTTTAATACTGTTATATCAGGCTATCTACTAATACACTGGATTGACTTGGCATGCTAATTTGGTTAATGGGCTTTAAAGCCTATCGACTACACGATGGTCATTAGGATTGCATGTAACCTGTTCACTACCTGTTAAGACTACTCTAATTCCTAATCTAGGACTGCAGTAACCTCTCAGTGTATATACACTGAGAGACATACACTTCATGGTGTATATATCATGTATGTTGTGATTACTTTTTAATGAACTGTGAAAAAGTGTATACGAGTGAATTATTATTATTATGGGGAGCGCTAAACACGTAGGGATTAAACAGGGTTTGTGCGGGGGGGGTGGGGGTTGGAAGGCATTCAGGCTCAATTCGGGGAACTGGAATACATATCCAATTCCCTAGATCAAGAGCCCCTCACCACCATCAAGGAACCTCCCCTGAAGGGACTTGCGAGCCAAGAGATTTATACAAATATTAATAAGAAAAAAAACGGAAGCTATAATTTTTATATAAAAAACATAATAATAATAATAATAATAATAATAATAATAATAATAATAATAATAATAATAATAATAATAATAATAACTTACCTTGGTTTTCTTTCAACAGTTGACCTGGTGTGGAGTAGACACTAATAATTCTCAGAATTACCCTGACTTTTGTCTCCTTGTCAGATTACAGTTTTATCCCACTAACAGGATTCCTCCAGAATTTTTTTCCCCACTCTATCACGTCTTAACTTTTCCCACAGTACGATAATACCTTAGAATGTAATTTTCCATTTTTCATGCATTATTCACTTAGTTCAATGATGTTAATATATGTTTTTATTCAGGTAATATTGGCCGCCTATTCATTTAGCTTCTCATATCGTTCGTATTACAACGTTTTGGCAAACTTCTTTTCTCTATTAATAAAGTTTTTGTCACAATGTTTCACAAGACAGTGTTGGGAATAATGGAACATTATTTTCTGCCTACAGTTTAGAACTGGTTTAATATCTTAATTATTGACATCTGATGAAATAATTAACAAGTAAATTATTGTCTTACTTTTGTTTACTGAGATACACTTGCAGTAATCTTAGATTTTTTTTTTTAATCAATAGTACAGCTGTAATTATTATAAATATTTCTTGATTACCAATAGTGCTTTAAATTTCAATTATCTTCATTCATTTCGTGTTCCTTGTAGCTGTGCAGAGTTAGATAAGATAAGATTTCGTTCGGATTTTTAACCCCGGAGGGTTAGCCACCCAGGATAACCCAAGAAAGTCAGTGCGTCATCGAGGACTGTCTAACTTACTTCCATTGGGGTCCTTAATCTTGTCCCCCAGGATGCGACCCACTCCAGTCGACTAACACCCAGGTACCTATTTGCTGCTAGGTGAACAGGACAACAGGTGTAAGGAAACGTGTCGAAATGTTTCCACCCGCCGGGAATCGAACCCGGGCCCTCTGTGTGTGAAGCGGGAGCTTTAGCCACCAGGCCACCGGGCCTGGTGAAATATAATCTCTTTTTAAGATTATAGTGAAATTAATGATTATATATGTGGTGTTGGATCATGATCCGATTAACTGTGTACGATTGTTCAAGTCTCTGTTCATAATGTTCTTTTTATCCAAGATTATTCGTAATTTGTCCATCATCAGTAATTAGTGTTGATGGTTAGATTCGTCGGGGAACGCTAAATCCGCAGGGGGTCGTAGATCATTTGGGAAATGGAAGATACGGCTCTCTATGCTACAGTAAAGTAGTATTGAGTTATTACGTCACATAATGGCGTCTTCAGGGAGTAAATGAATTATGGTGCATCTTCCTTGACGCAACTACGATAGTGTGGTGCATCTCCATGGAGCAACTACGATAGTGGTGCATCTTAATGAAGCAACTATAAGTGTGTTGTATCTTCGTGAAGCAACTACAGCTGTATAGTATCTTCATGAGGCGACTGCAACAATGTGTTGCATTTTCATGAAGCAACTACAAGTGTGTTGCATCCTCATGAAGCAACTACAAGAGTGTGTTGCATCCTCATGAAGCAACTACAAGAGTGTGTTGCATCCTCATGAAGCAACTACAAGAGTGTGTTGCATCCTCATGAAGCAACTACAAGAGTGTGTTTCAAACAAGCGAGGCGACTTAACCACTTAAAATCTTTAGTCCAGGTCGATGATTTGGAGACCTGCATAGATTACAGAGGTATTTGATTTCTCCAAAGAAGAAAATTTATCCTGATTCAGGTCTTCTGTCACACATGACCCACTCAACGAAGTTTTTGGTCATTTGACCGAGGTCTTTCTGTATCTTACTGGTCCACCCAGTAAAGAAATAAATACCACATCATGAGATGGTACATTTTCAACCTCATATATAAAAAAAAAATAGGTCTCTATTCAGAAGTGTCTAAGCATACAAAAATCCATTCAATCGAAACTGAGGGAAGAGTACTGAGAGTATTATACAAGTATCCACAGGTCTAATTCCTGATAATATTCTCCAGGACAATGTCCTGGCACGGTTTATAATATATCGACGACCTTTCAAGAAAAATTTTTTGATAATATTCGTTAGGAGACAGGACAAGTGTCTCCCAACACGGATCTTAATGATATAAATGACCCGTTCAAGGGTCAGCACAGACAGATCTCATTGAATCTACCTGTCCAATTGTTATTCCGGACTGCAGACTTAATCGAACATGTTGAGATTTGAAAAATAGACTTGTGAAATATGACATTTTCTTGTGAAGTTGTCACTTAATTGAACTGAGACACAAGATTCTATTTTAGTCACACTTCAAATGTCAAATGAGGGTTTGCTAGTGTATACAGCCTCAAGCAGTGCTGGAGCAGGTTGACCATCCGTAGCGGCTTCTAGTAGCAAGAAAACGATGAAAAATGTTCAGATTTGAAGAGTTCTTGAGTCTTGCGCGTAGATAGTACATGGCAGTCCTTAATCTAAATAGAAATATAATATTCTTCTGAGCAGATAGCCTCGGTGTGGACTTCCAAGTCCTCTGCTCTCTATCTTTCCCATGACTTTCACTCTCTAGATAGGGGACAAGCGTGACTAAAGTGAGGGTGTTTTGTGCGAGTGAGGGGGGCGAGGGGCGGGGAGCGGCGCGCCCAACCTCACTCCACCGCGTCCTACGCAACACTAATATACTCCACCATGTGACTCCCTCTATATCACCTCTCCTCGTGCACACTATTGTACACACTTTCCTTCCACTCGTAGAGGGAGGCTACCTTGATGCTGGTGAGGGGCTCTTGATATAAATATATTGGAACTGCTCTTCCTTCCATGGAATAACCTTCTTACTGGGTAGTTCTCATCGCTACCAGGCTATGCTGCTTACATTTCCCAAGGCGCTGACACTGGTAACACTTCAATGTCTGTGTACGACAAGAGACTAGGTCATAATAAACTGATGGAGGATCGAGCCTTCACCCACTCCTCAAATAACCTACATAGGTTTAGCGTGTCATGAAATGAAATGCAATGCAAATCACTGTTGTAGTTATGGTATTTGAGAAGTTAAAAGACTGCATAACTCGCTGATCTTTTCTATTCAGTGATTCTAGTGGGTAGGTCCTGACCTGGTTGTATTATGTAGACAGTGGGACAATCTTTACAAGAAATTTCCTAGATTCACAAATCACGCGCATTTAGAAGAGGGAGCTAATAACAAGCTATCAGCCTTTCCTACATCATTGTCAAGTCACAATTAAACGAGAAAACGTTATCGTAAGATTCATTTTTCAATTGCGGGTCATTTGTGAATTGTTTCAGGTGTGATATCGTGGCTTTTATTCTTCAGTTCCCTAGGATCTAAGATTGATGAGCAACTTCACCTGTATTACGGTACCCCCTTGAAGAGTGACCTAGTAGGTAATGTATTAAGGAAACATTTGGCCCACGGTGGGCCAAATGTTTCAATTAAATGTTTCAATTCAATACAGATAGTAAAACAATGAAATATTAGTATGGAGGTAAAGTGTAGTGTAGGTGGGGTGCTGTAAATTGTAAATGATGTCACCTGACAGCTGCATCCTTGTGTTTTAAAATAAATTCAGCTCAAGCTCTGGAGATAACTAAAACTTCTTGTGTTCGACACGCCTGTATTGCTAAGACTAGTGACTCTGTACCTTCTAGGCAATGGCACCTCTGTATATCTTTCTTTTTGATGAGTGGTTTCTCACCATTTCGTTTTATTACGTGGTCGTGGCTATTTCTGCGAAAACAGATGTTATTGGCTTTTTCAACAGTGCTCACGGGTAAGTCCCAGGCCCTTTCTCCCACATATACTTTCTCGCAACCTTCACATGGTGTAACATACAATACAATCGGAAACTGGCGGTCTTAACAATGTACAAGCCACATGAGGATGGGAATCTTTATTATTAATATAATAAAAAAGCGCTAAATCACAAGGGCTATACAGCGCTGCTTGGAATCTTTAGTTTCAGGTCTTTCGCACCTGTGCATCGTCAGGAGCTATGCTATGTTGCAAGACTACCAACAGATTCCTATTAGGGAAAATTCTCTGAAGCAAGGCAGAAGCGTATCAGCTGCCCCAATCTCTCAGAACCCATGGAGAGATGCTGTGGTCCCACTGCCTTCAAAGTATCTAGTTCGAGGTGTCTGGCTCTGTCGGGGTTCAAGCAACAGGGTCCACGTGGCCTAATTTTTAACTTATTCTTTCCGTTTCTGTTATCAGAGAAAAAAATTGTTTCCTCTGCCTTTCCTCTCACATAAGTGTCCAGGAGCATGACTAAAACTCCCGCTTCACACACAGAGGGGCCCGGGTTCGATTCCCGGCGGGTGGAAACATTTCGACACGTTTCCTTAGCAGCAAATAGGTACCTGGATGTTAGTCCACTGGTGTGGGTCGCATCCTGGGGGACAAGATTAAGGACCCCAATGGAAATAAGTTAGACAGTCCTCGATGACGCACTGACTTTCTTGGATTATCCTGGGTGGCTAACCCTCCGGGGTTAAAAATCCGAACGAAATCTTATCTTATCTTATGAAGACAATGTAAGTTTATTTAGGCACCGATACACACAAGTACAATTATCATACGTCAGACAAAAGGAATTATTTCCATTAGGATCTTTGTAATATATATATGAAATGACTAATATGTCATTTAGTGTAACATTGCCCGGTTTTTTATTTATTTATTTATTTATTTATTTATTTAGTAATTTAAGCATACGTACAGAGGTACAAAAAATACAGGTAAGAGCAGCATGCCAAAGCCACTTATATGCATAGCATTACGGGCTGGCTTAAAATTAACTTAAGATTAACTAAGCAATGATGAAATCAGTGATAAAACATTATTGTAAACAGATAACTATAAAGCACAAATGAGTATTACAAAGACAGGTCATATGGTTGCTTGCATTGCTGTACATTCAGTCGAATGGAGTATTCTGTTAGGTAGTGTATTTAAAAAAATAATAAAGTTAGATTGGGTCCTAGGTTTAACATTTGTGTGATATAATTGTGAGTAACATATAGGATATACAATTTATAAGGTTCAGTTATTCAGTATTTATTTGGTTTTGAGTGAGTAATTGATCTTTGAGAAGAGACTTGAATTTATAAACAGGTAGTGTTTCTTTTATATTTACAGGTAATGAATTCCAGATTTTAGGGCCTTTTATGTGCATTGAGTTTTTGCATAGCGTGAGATGGACACGAGGAACATCAAAGAGTGATCTGTGCCTTGTATTATGGTCATGTGTTCTGTTGAGGTTGGCAAGGAGATGTTTGAGGGGAGGGTTAATATCAGAGTTAAGTGTTCTATGTATGTAATAAGTGCAATAATAAGTATGGATGTTTTGTATGGTGAGTAGGTTGAGTGTTTTGAACATTGGAGGAGTGTGCTGCCTGTAGTGAGAATTTGTTATCATTCTAACTGCAGCCTTTTGTTGGGTAATTAGTGGTCTGAGATGGTTAATTGTTGTTGAGCCCCATGCACAAATTCCATAGGTGAGATAGGGGTAAATAAGAGAGTGATAAAGGGCCAGGAGGGCTGACTGTGGAACATAGTACCGTATCTTCGATAGTATGCCTACAGTCTTGGAAATTTTCTTAGAAATTTGTTGTATATGTGTATGAAATTTGAGTCTATTATCGAGGTGGATTCCTAGGAATTTTCCCTCTGTTAGCTTTGAGATAGGTGATCCGTTTATTGTTGTTAAGAGGTACATCTGTAGCTCTGTTACCAAACTGAATGAAGTAGGTTTTGTCAATGTTTAGTGTAAGTTTGATAGTCCTCATCCAGGTAGATATTTTCTGTAATTCGGTGTTTACAGTATTGGCTAGCGTGACTGGGCTCGGGTGAGAGAAGACGTATGTGGTGTCATTTGCAAAAAGTGTGGGTTTGAGTAATTGCGAAGCATTTGGTAGGTCATTTATGTATAGGAGAAAGAGAAGAGGGTCAAGGACACTTCCCTGTGGGACACCAACTGTAATTGGTTGTGCGGAAGAGCTTGCCCCATTTGCGTACACATATTGGCTTCTGTTGCTGAGGTAAGACTTGAGGTAGTTGAGGGAGTGCCCTCTTATACCATAGTGTGACAATTTTACGTGGAGCAAGTCATGGTCAACTGTATCAAAAGCTTTACGTAAGTCAATGAAGATCCCCAGTGGGACTTCTTTTTTCTCTATTGCAGTGTATATATGTTCTAGCATGTGTATAATAGCATCATTAGTATTTTTATTAGGCCTGAATCCAAATTGGCAGGGGTTGAGAATGTTTTGGGAGATGAGGTAGGAGTAGATTCGTTTATGAATTAATTTTTCGAAGATTTTTGAGAGAGGGTGTAAATTGGATATTGGCCTATAGTTATTCAACTCTGTTTGGTCTCCTCCTTTATGGATCGGGGTGACCCTTGCTATTTTGAGAACTGTAGGGAAGGTGGAGGATTCAATGGATTTGTTAAAGAGTGTTGCAATGATTGGTGATAGTACTTGTGACGCTTTTTTGTTAGGTCAGTTAGACATATTTTGACCTCTGTAAACCTGATTCTTTTACGTTGCTGCTCATATGATGCTTATAAAGCGTACAATAAACTAGCAGCTTAAACGACACAACTAAACAAAATAAAATTATCACTTTCCAGTCCACATTTAAGCAATATATATTGGTGGTGTCCGGGAGTCCGGGTTCACTAAGCTAAGCTTTAGTACACCTTAACAACCCCAACACCAACCTTCTTTGTGAACTTTATATGTTGCATTGCTGTATAGCCCTTGTGGTTTAGCGCTTGTTTTTGATAATAATAATAATAATAATAATATGTTGCATTGCGTAAAAGAAGAAGGAAACGTCATCTGTTGTATTGCATAAAAAAACGTCATCTGTTGTAGTGCGTAAAGAAGAAACTTCATCTGTTGTATTGCATATAAGAGGAAGAAAAAGAAGAGTGGATTATTTGTTATATAAGAGGATAATAAAGAAGAGAGGCGCTGTCTCAAGATGGGCGGTGGAGATCTAGTGAGAATTATTCATTTATCTTAGCTGTTAATTTTAAGAGGCGCCTCAGTTTTCCTATCTCATAATATCACGTTTATTTTTCCTCTATAATCTACCTTGTCCATAATTACTATCGCATTTGCTTTGTCTGCTTTCGTAATGTGAAGTCCAGGATCTTTCCTTAATTCATGGTATAACTTAACAAATATTTGAGTACAATTGTGTTGCACAAGTCTGAGCGAAGCTCCAGTTAAGATAAGATAGGATTTGTTCAGATTTTTAACCCAGGTTAGAGAGGATTAGTCACCCAGGATAACCTAAGAAAGTCATCTTATTTCCATTGTGGTCTTATTTCCATTGTGGTCTTGTGTCCATTGTGGTCTTATTTCCATTGTGGTCTTTTTTCCATTGTGATCTTATTTCCATTGTCATCTTATTTCCATTGTGGTCTTATTTCTATTGTGGTCTTTAAGTCTTGTCCCCCAGGATGCCACCCACACCAGTCCACTAACACCCAGGTACCTACTTAATATTAGATGAAGGAGCCCAATGGAAATAAGTAACTTTGACTTGTTTTGGAAGGTTCTCTACACATATGCTGCTATGTATGATAATCTATGTAACTGTATTTGTGTATACCTGAATAAAATTACTATGAACAAGGACAGCAGTTACCACCAGTAACTAGTTACCTGGGTGTTTGTAGACTTGTGGGAAAGGACCTTTAAAATAACCTGGGCATAATCCTCCAGGTAATGTGTCCCTTAAAAAAGGTCTTCAATGGAAATAAGCCAGTGTTTTGCTCAAGAGTTATTCTGGGCTGTAAACCTTCTGGGGTTTCTAGTTCAAATAAAGTCTTCTGTTTTAAACTGAAGTCACACTGTCGAGTTGATAATTTCTCTAAAATCAGAATTATTATATCTTCGAATTACTGAACATGCTTATTAGAAAAATAAAATAATTGTGTCCAGATACTGGGGCCTTCTTGATAGCTAATGATTCCATTACACAAATATAAGAAAATGTCTGTAAGAATTAGTTTTCAGAATGAATGATACATTTCTTTCCTTGACAGCCTCACATGCTTATAAATGTGTAAAAAACAATATTAAAGTACCATCATTCTGCATTAAAATTCAGAGTAAATACACAGCACAGCTGTGGAAATGCATAACCAGTGCTTTTATAATAACTGTAGTTAAGGAGAAGGGTTGTAGTCTTGTGGTCATGGTGTTCTGTGGCCTGGTAAGTAACACTCACCTCACACACTGAGTGTCTGTGTTCAGTCCTGGCCGGGTATGTTTCCTTACACCTGCCATCCCTGTACACCTAGCAAGGAAGTAGGTACCTGGGTGTTAGTTGACTGTTGTAGGTTGCATCCTGGGGGACGAGATTGAAGGACTCAAGTGGAAATAAGACAGACAGTCCTCAGTGATGCCCTGACTTTCTTGGGTTATCCTGGGTAGCTAACCCTCCAGGGTTAAAAATCCAAACAAAATCTTATCTTATCTTATTGTATGCAGTATTGACTTAACACTCAGCTTCCACGTTTTCATGGTGAAGGTATTTACTAGGGTTACATTAGGTTGATGGAGCTGCTGGTTGTTTAGTAGATAATGCCAGCATTATTTTGTCCATCTTTCTTTCTTTCAACACACCGGCTGTATCCCACCGAAGCGGGGTGGCCCAAAAGGAAAAACGAAAGTTTCTCCTTTTACATTTAGTAATATATACAGGAGAAAGGGTTACTAGCCCCTTGCTCCTTATTTTGTCCATATCTTGGCAATATTAAAATCTAATATTAAAATCTAATAAATCATACCTAAAGAAAAATCTAAGTTTAGTTTTTAAACAGGTCTGTAATGGATTTTTCTGAGCTTGCTGTGGTTAATTATTCTCCCTAATGATTTTTGTAGCATTCAGCTAAGTATATTTATACAAATAACTTTTTCAGAACTTGAAGAAATCATGGCATCCGCATACAATGAAGAACCAAGAGCGAGTATGGAAGGCAGAGCAACAGAAAGCCGAAGAAGATCGCAAAATGGCTGAGCTCCAGCGAGAGCTGAAGGAGGAGAGGGAGCGAGAGATGCTAAGGAAGACTGCAGAAGAGTCTGGGGCAGTCAAGAAAAAGACCGATGATAAACTTGACTGGATGTATAAGGTTGGTTAGGCAAAAATCTTAGACTAAAAATATAAATTTCTGTACCTTTTCTTCCATTGTTCATGGAATGGTGATCTAAACATTCCCTAATAGGTAATGAATTTTGCTCTTTGTTGCTAAAAATATTGCAGTCCACTGCATAGACTATTATGTACTGTCTTAAAATTCCTTTCTATATATTTACAGGATTTATGTTCTCATTAATAATTTTTCTCTAAGGCTGATGACTGTTCTTCATTAAAAAAACAAAAAGGCACAATACCACGACTGGAACAGTACACAAAAAACTCTCAAATAAGAGAAAGAAACTTATGATGTTTTGGTCTGACTTGGTCTATTAACGAGTCACACACTGGACCGAAATCTGATCACAAGTTTCTTTCTCCTATGTGTAGGTTATTTGTGTACTAATCTTCATTACTTTTAACCACCTTATTTATCCTTCCATTTTGCAATCTACACAATGCTGGAACTTCTTAATTTCTTCAAATTCTTTAAAATCCATTTTCAAACTGTGCATTTTCAGTAAGGTACAAGAAGAATCTACTTTTAAGTTTTCAAAATGCAATTGACTTACTGTTACCAGCATCTGACCTCATTTTCTTTTATGAGAAACTGTATAGAGCTCATTTGCCTCTTTCGTCATTTTTACTGTAAATGGATAAAAATACTGATCTGATTATCTGACTTTCTCCTCACCTCCTGATCTGTTTTTTAGAATTTTTGTCACCTGACCTGTTTACTTATTCTCTCTTCAGCCCCATTACTTGACCAGGCTTCTGTGTTTGTCTTTATTTCTTGGTCAGTTGTCCAGGATTAAAGTGTGTAACAAAGTGAGATGTGGAGTGAGTGATGATGAAAATTGTTTTTTCTTTTATTTGGGTCACCCTGCCTTGGTGGGAAATGGCCGATTTGTTAATAAAAAAATAATAAACTGTAGGTATCAGTGGTATCGGCTAATTTTGATGGTATCGGTATGTGCCTAAATTTAAGTATAGGCATTAGTATCAGCAAAAATTTTGGTGTTGTCCTATACTAATCCAGGATGAACTGAAATCTCATCCAAAGTTTCCTCCCATAAGTGTGAGGTATTTGTGAATTGTTCCAAATACCTGACATTTGTTTCCATTCAGCTCTAGCTTGGTTATATATTATCTGTTACTTTTGCATTCACCTGTGTTCATATTAACCTGGAAATTCATCCATTGATCGTGGATACTCTTGAGTTAGATACCAGTAGTGCTCATACATCACTTGCACCTTGATGCGGCCTACCTGCGGACAAATTAATTCACCATACACAGTTTTTTGTACAACATGAATTAAAAATCACTGATTGGACACAATTTAGGACTGAGGAAGCCGCTGGTTGGCAAAACATTTGCACAAAAAAGATACCCAAGAGTTGCACAAGTGTGGAATCATGGACATGACAAGTAAGTGCAGTGAGGTATGGCTGGTGGGTTGAGAATAGTCACCTTCTTCCTGATGCTGTTCCCAAATTGTGGTATTTTTGTTGTCTTGCAGAAAACTATTAATAAAGGGGTTTAAGGAATGGAAAACTATATGGTTTACCTGGAGAGGGTTTTGGGTGTGAATCCCCCCATGGCTCGGTCTGAGACCAGGCCTCGTGGTGGATCAGGGTCTGATCAACCAGGCTGTTACTGCTGGCTGCACGCAAACTGACGTACGAACCACAGTCTGGTTGGTCTGGTACTGACTTTAGATGAATGTCCAGTGCCTTCTTGAAGACAGCCAGAGGTCTATTGGTAATCCCCCTTATGTATGGTGGGAGGCAGTTGAACAGTCTTGGGCCCCAGACACTTATTTTGTTGTCTTTTGGTGTACCTGTGGCTCCCTTGATTTTCACTGAGGGAAAGTTGCATCTCCTACTGAGTCTTTTGCTTTCATAGGGAGTGATTTTCGTATGCAAGTTTGGTACTAATCCCTCTAAGATTTTCCAAGTGTATATTATTGTGTATCTCTCTTGCCTGCACTCCAGAGAAATAGACAATTGTTATTCAGCATTCAAAATTTTCAGGATTGGCTGTATTTCTGTTTCTAACTGAGGTAAAACAGGCTTTATACTGTAGTATGTAGACAATAACAAAAGCCAACAAGTGTGAATAAAGACACTGGTAGTACAGGCTCCTTTTTTAATACAATGTTTTGCATATACACTGTAATACGAAATAAATCAATGCACTCCTTTTGTTGATTTGTAATTGTTCTTAATTCTTTCAGGGCCCAGGGGGTCATGTTAGCCGTGAAGAATACTTACTGGGGCGTAAAATTGATAAAGCCTTTGAGATGCTGGATAAATCAGAATCTGCTGCTAATTCAGCAGAGGGTGAGCAGCCTCCACCACAACACAACAAGGCAGTGTACACCATAGAACATGGTGAGTTGTCGAATAAGACATTTGCAACACTTGGGTGTCTCTCATAAATAGACATTTTTGCCGAACAGTTGCTTTATCAGTTTCAGAGAATAATACTGGAGATGGTGAAAGACATGTAATAGTAGTTTAAGGTGATCAGTCCCTCAGCCTGCTACTGAAGGATACACAACCTGTGGCCCTTATGTGGCACAGTTGCACCCATCGATGTCTCATGTGGCACAGTTGCACCCATCGATGTCTCATGTGGCACAGTTGCACCCATCGATGTCTCATGTGGCACAGTTGCACCCATCGATGTCTCATGTGGCACAGTTGCACCCATCGATGTCTCATGTGGCACAGTTGCACCCATCGATGTCTCATGTGGCACAGTTGCACCCATCGATGTCTCATGTGGCACAGTTGCACCCATCGATGTCTCATGTGGCACAGTTGCACCCTCAATGTCTTATGGGGCACAGTTGCACCCATTGATGTCTTATGTAAATTATTAAATAACCTGACTTGTGACATGTATCGTCCATTGGTTTTATTTAATTTGTAAACTGTGTCACATAACTACAGTGCTCAAATATTGACCTTAAAGTGGTTCTTATGTTTGTTCATTTCATTCAGTACAGCAAGTCATTACTTGTGGAAACTGTGAGGGAAGATCTCTATAAAATATAAAATGGACGATGTGAGTGTATACACAGTATTGAAGTCAAAAAGTACTGATAGTATGTAATAAATAAAGTAAGGAAGTGCCTTTTAAATTATGAATATTAATTTTTCCTTTTCTTGAATTATGTTAGAAATCAACCCTGAGTCTGTGATCCACCGAGAGGCCAGCAACGTCCAGGTTGATATGCGACGGAAGCTGATGGAAGACCCACTCTTAGTAATACGTCAGAGGGAGGAAGAAACCAAGCGGCAGATCACAAGTAATCCTGTTAAGATGAAGCAGTTACAGCAATTGGTAAGGGCTTCTGATCAACAACAGCAGCAGCAGCAATAGTTAAGCCAGTTGGTCATTCGTAGTGTTACAGTGGAAGTTATCACAAGTAATTCTGTCAAGATGAAGCATTGGTTGGTGAATCCAGTTGGAAAACATTTTGAATGATCTGATACTCATTTCTCTGTGCAGAAAATTAAATATTTTTAGCAGAATTTTCTTGTAATACCAGAGGACCCCACTTATACAGCAGGTTAGGTTCTGAGCTACTGCTCTAAAGCATCACTGTAAAGTCAAACAGCCTTTTTTTGCTTTAAAAAGCCTGATGACATGTTTATCATATACTGTTAAGTGAGCAGTAGAGCTATGTCTAAAAAAAATGCATCATATGCAGTGTACACATTACTTACCTTTAAATATTTTTGTCTTTAGCTTATAGTGAGTGGTGAATATATTTATTGTAAGAAGTCTGAATAAATAAAGTAATGAGTGTACTGTACATGCATTTTACTTTTTATTGTTTTTTTATGCCTAGTTCTATTGCTAACTTAATATATGATAGTGTAAACATGTAATCAGGCACTTATGTGCAGTATTTAAAAGTGAAAAAAAGAGTGACTCGCTTACGACAATTTTTGCTTTACGGTGGCAGCCTGGAACCTAACCTGCTGTATAAGTGGGGGCCATCCTGTATTTACTTATTCACTGACAGTACTTATTTATTTAATATATATTCATATTCAGTGTAGGTAGTAGGTTGGTAGACAGCAGCCATCCAGGGAGGTACTACCTTCCTGCCAAGCGAGTGTAAAATGTAAGCCTGTAATGTCTTGCTACTTCTACTTACACTTAGGTCACACTACACATACATGTACAAGCATATATATACACCCCTCTGGGTTTTCTCCTATTTTCTTTCTAGTTCTTGTTTACATTGGAACCTCAAAAATCAAACTGCTCCCAACACGACCAATTATGTAGGTGTATTTTTGTAAGTGCTTTCATAAGTGTATTTTTGAGGGTCTGAAATGGACTAATCTAATTTACATTATTCCTGATGGGAATAAATTCATTCGGTAAAGGCACTCGAACAGCCTTCTGGACCTAAGAAAGTTTGATATTTGAGGTTCCACTGTATTTCCTCTTATCTCCATGGGGAAGTGGAACAGAATTCTTCCTCCGTAAGCCATGCATGTTGTAAGAGGCGACTAAAATGCTGGGAGCAAAGTCCTAGTAACCCCTTCTCCTGTATAAATTACTAAATTTAAAAAGAGAAACTTTCGTTTTTCTTTTTGGGCCACCCTGCCTTGGTGGGATACGGCCGGTTTGTTGAAAAAAAACAAAAAATATTCATATTCAGGTAATTTTGACTTACGATGGGTTTGTTGGAACGTAACCCCATCGTAAGTCAAGGAACAACTATACTGAGTTCGCAGAATTCTTGAATAATATTTTGTCCTCTTTCCTAGATAGCAACAATCAGAGCTAAGAAGAAGAAAAAGAAAAGATCCAGTAGCAGCAGCAGTTCCAGTTCTTCTTCAGATTCCTCTGATGACAGCTCTGACTCTGAGTCAGAGGATGATAAGAAAGTGTCTAAGAAGAAAAAGAAAAAGAAGAAGAAGAAAAGGAAAAAGCACCGGAAAAGCTCTTCATCCAGCAGTGACTCCTCAGATAGCGACTTCAGTTCCAGTTCTGAGGAAGATAAGAAGAGGAAGAGAAAACGTAAAGCCAAAAAAGTAAAGAAGGCAAAGAAAAGTGTGAGTTGTGACCCTTTTTTTGTTTTCTGACATATCACTCTTACATATGAAGTTAAAGGGGGCAAGTAGCAGAAGAATTAGAAAATATTTTACAGAGACTGGTGACTTAACGACCTGCCTGTTTAATGACTGCTCGGACTTATGACCATCTCTGACTAGTTGGTATTGTATGCTGTAAAAGAACTTTGGCTGTGGAAACGGCAGCGCGACGTCTCAGCATCAAGCATCTTATCTCTCATCACCTGCTTAATAATGCCTCAGGCCACCCCCAGTATCTTGATCATCTACACCTGGATGTAAAGGTAGAGTATCTGACTAAAAGCACGACTGCTCTCCTACAGCCAATGAACCAGGGGGTTATAGCTATGTTCAAAGTGTATTATTTGCTCACAACTTTTTCCAAAACTGTAGCACCAACAGAAAATGATGAAGTAACCCTGCATGATTTTTGGAGCTCACACATTTTATACTGCATAAAGAACATTCAATCAGCTCGGAAGGGAGTGATGGAAAAGTGCATGCAAGGCACATGGAAAAAATGTCTAAAACATTTTGTGAATAATTTTGAAGCATTTGACAAAGATGAACATGATAATGTCATAAATAAAATAATTGTGGAACCTGCTAATGTGCTTAATTTAGATGTTCATGTTTAAAATATGGAAGAATTAGTGGAACATGTTGAGGGAGTGCTAACTAACAAAGATTTAATAGAGTTATAAGCACAGCGGCCTCACTCGCTTTCTCTCATTGGCTCTCCTTTTGCACTTCCTCACCACCCTTTTAACTTCTTTTTTCTGTTTATATACTCTGCCCTCTATATATCACTTCTACAATATAAAAACCTCCCATATGCTAACTTTTTCTCCATTGTTGTAGTGGAGCAACAGGTCCTAGTTGTGGCCATATCCCACCGAGGCAGGGTGGCCCGAAAGGAAAAACGAAAATTTCTCCTTTTAAATTTAGTACTGCAATGCAGTACATACTGGAGAAGGAGCTACTAGTCCCTTGCTCCCGGCATTTTAGTCGTCTCATACGACACGCATATGGTTATAACTATGACCATAATTTTTAAAGGGGTGGACTGGTAAGCCAGCAGACGTCCTCGGTTGGATGACCAAAAGCTCCACTGACAGGTCATCATCTGACTAAGACCCGTCAGAAAATACTTGTTCTGTTTCCTGACAACCTTACCTACCTACCTGTACTAGTGAGGCAAGGTTGTCCATCATGCATTGTCTGTTAAACCATTTTTTATCATTCTCTGTGGATCCTGTATCCCAGAGTTGGTTATTGGGTTTTAAACCTTTCAATTACTTGAGAGTCATTAAGGCTGCAGGTAACTTGCTCACCACCAGTCAAGAATACTTTTATCCTTGAAGTATTTTTGATTGGTAGGGAGAAATTTCTTTTAATTCCTAACTTATATTTTACCAATTTTGGTAATGGGTAAACTAGAATATTTTATGTAATTTATAATATAATACTAATTGTTTATTGCATTTTCAGAAAAAACAAGATGGCAAAAAAAAGAACAAAACTAAATCAAAGAAGAAAAAGAAAGAGAGTGATAGTGATAATGAAAAAGAGTTAGGAATTAGCAGTGAATGTAAAAAGATAAACATTGACTCTGAAAGAAGAGGGAGGAAAGAGGGAAACCCGTCAACACGTGAAGGATATGGGGACAGAATGAAAAATAGAGACATGCGTCAGTCGTGGAATAAAGATCCCCAGAGAGATAGAGAAAGAGAGAGAAGTAGAGAAAGAGATAGAGGGTGGGAACAGGGAAGAGGAAGAGGAGGAAGCAAGGGCAGAGGTAGAGGGTGGGAACAGGAAAGAGAATGGGGCAGGGATTATAGGAGGGAAGATAGTGTGGATAGAGAAAGAACAAGGGAATGTGAAATGGAGAGAAGAAAGGAAAAGGAGAGGGGCAACAGAGAGAGAAATGAAAGGAATCGATCACCTAAACATCATCAAAATGAAGCTAGAAGTAGAAGTAGGAGTAGAGAGAGGAGAGATAGTCACATAAACAGATCAAGAGCAAACAAGCAAAGGTTAACAGAGGAGGAAATGGAAAAAAAGAGACAAGAAATGATGGAAGCAGCAAGGAAACGAGACGAAGAAAGGAAAGAAAATGTTCGGCGGTATGCAGAAGAGAAAATGAAGGAGGAGATAATGGAGGAATCAGTGGAAAAGTTCATGAGGTAATGTTCAAGGAAGTAGATGTAGAAGAATATAACATTTTAGTAAGCATGTTATCTCACATTATTATGAACATATACATGCCTCTGGCAAGACAGTGATAGTGCAAATGATGGTGAAAGTGTTTCTTGTTTGAGTCATCCTGCCTTGGTGGGAAACAACCGGTGTGTTAAAAAAAATGAAGCTGGTGCAGTGTACACAAATAACCTGCACATAGGAGGCAGAAACTTGTTGTCCAAGTTGTCATAAGTTGCTTTCTCCTATGTGTAGGTTATTTGTGTATTGTTCCTGCCATATTATTGTTCCTTTTTTTTCATTCAGTACAATATATTTACACTCATTTCCTAAAAATTTGAGAGCTTCCTTATTCATGGGTTTTCTTTAATGAACATTTTCACTGATACAACTTTCTTTTCTGCAGTACACAAAATTTAGTTTATTTGTAATATAATATTGCTAAGCAGAAAAGAAAGCTACTAGCATGCTGTGCATTTCTGGCAGAATAATACTTATGTTTACACATTACTTAAGAACTAGACATAGGTTATTGATGGAAATATAAACACATATGCAGTTTAATGTGATCCTTTATTGACAACGTTTTGCCCACACAGTGGGCTTTTTCAAGTCACAAACAGATCTGTTTGTGACTTGAAAAAGCCCACTGTGTGGGCAAAGCATTGTCAATAAAGGATCACATTAAACTGCATATGTGTTTATATTTCCACTGTGTCGGTATTTTATACCATTTATTTCCAGAGGTTATTGATAATGAGTTTTTTATTAAATGTACAGAAAGTGAGGTAGCTAGGTGAATAATAGTTCTCTGATGTGTAACTTGTGACTAAATTAAAGTGTTCATTGTTCTAGCTTGTTTCCTGTGTCCAAATCTCTTACTATTTTGGTTATTAAATTTGTATGATGAATGATGGTGAAAGTATTTCTTTTTTTCGGGTTACTCTGACTTTGTTGGAGATGGCCAGCATGTTAGAAAAAAAAAATATGATCAATGAAATGCAAAATAAACAGAAGTCTGAATCAGAATTTGTTTGCACATAATTTTGTATTAATTGGATTTTGTACTTTTGTTGGGCCTCCATAACCATGACCCCTGAGTAATTTGTAGGGACAGCTATAGAGTGCAGCCTTGATTTAATAATGGACTAATAGGGAAAGTCTGGTAATGCCAGCCAGTTTTTCATTAAGTCTAAATAATGAGATTTTTTGCGTTTTCTTAAAAATGAAAAATTCTATAAACAACAGACTTTGTCCTTTACAGTAAAACCTTGACCTAACAGACTCCCATTTAGCAGATTTTGAAAACTATGGACCAAAAGAATTGGTTAGATAAATGTTGTAATCATCAGACAAAATGGGAAAAGTCTATAGATTCTGGATTTTGTCCTTGTGTTGTTTTTGTCTGTTAGTCTTCTGAATCAATGGACCAATGATTCATATTTTTGTCCAGTATGAGCCTGAGTGCCCTCGTCTAGAACTCACTCACGGATACACTCGTCATTCAGTCTTCAATTTTTTCTTGGCATACTGTTTTGTGTGACTTTATTAACATACTGAGTAATGTTCAATTAACAATGGCTTCTAAAGCAAGTGGTGGTGCCAGGAGGAAATCCATGAATCTCAGTGTTCAGCAGAAACTTGAACTAATAAAGAAGGCTGAGTCTGGTGTTTCAGTGTCACAGATATGTAAGGAATATGGTGTTAATGAGGTGTTCGTGAGGCCTGGTCACAGGCTGGGCCGCAGGGGCGTTGACCCCTGAAACTCTCTCCAGGTATACTCCAGGTATTAAGAAACAAACAATGTCTGATTCTCGTAGAAGCAAGGGCGAACTTACAGATCAATGCTCTTAAGTTTATTGTAGATGATGACTGTCTACTTCTTACAGACCATGCTCTTCAGTTTATTGTAAATGCTGGCCGTATACTTCTTGTCAGCCATCTACTTTTTCACTAGTGAAGCTTTACAGCTCCTCTGACTGAAAATAAAAGTTATTCTGAATCACCACTATTGATCATGTCACTTTACACTTCTTCTTTGCACAACAAGAGGCAAGTAAAATTACTGTAAATTGCTGAAAAATTATTGTACTGTCTTTGACTGCACATGACAGTACTATTGTACTTTCAGTTTTATTTAATTTCTAATTCCTGTATAGTACTGTACTGTTTTACTGGTTACAATACCTTTTGTGTCTGGTAGTCTTCTGAATCACAAGACAAAGTCCATGGATTCTAAGATTTGTTTGTGTTATGATCACAAAAAATAAATTTTATAATTCAGAGTGTATGGACAGTTGGCAGTAATGGACATGTTCTTCCCCACTAGTCCATTAATTTGAGAGTTCATCGTACTTCCGAAGTCAACTTACCTGGCAGATTGTAATAATAACAAGACAATTCTGGAAATAACAAGCTTAGTTGTTTCTAGAGTTGTCTTAGACATTTTGGATTTATCTGTTATGTCCAAAGTTTATTAAATCAAGCTTTTTTACAAAAGTTGAAAAGTTGAAATTTCACATGTGGCATTGTTTTTCTGGTTATTAGTAATTAATTACCATTTGATCAGATCTACTGAAGCTACCTTGTCTGTCTTCTGATTAAATGTGATTATCTCTTATTTACCAAGTCTTGTATAAACCTCTGCAGATTTAGCACTCTCTTTTGAATATAATAGTAGTAATAATAATTAAATCTGTTTCAGGACTCAGCTGTTAAGAGCATCAGGAGGCAGCATCGAGGAGCGAGTCAAGTCTCGTGTTAGCTCGGTGCAACGAGGAGACACTCACATGGAGTCGAATTTTGCCAGAAAGTAAACTGAAATGAGGGAGTATATTTGGAAGGCAGATGAATTTAGGACAGTCAGTATTATTAAAGTTATTATTTATCTATCACATTTGATGCCAGATAATTAATAACTATCACATGTAGCAAGCTTCTTCTTGAAGCAAAACATGAGTGGTCATTATTAATGGTGTACAAGACCAACAAGTAGATGACTGATACACATGGAATACTTGGGCAAATTTGATTGTGTATTAGACTGATATAGCCACTGGTGGGCAAAACGTCTCCACAAAGATACCCAGGTGTTGATGAGTAAGACATGGCCAGCAGTTGGGTATCTTTATTGTCCAAATGTTTCACCTGCTCTGTAGGCTTCTTCATTCAAATACTGTAGCTGGTATCGTATGTCACTATTATATTATTATTACAATCAGTACTAAGTGCTAAACCCACAAGGACCATTATTATAATGATGCCCAAGTGTTAAACATGTGCCTTATTCTTGATTGGTCACTGGATGTACAAGCATGATGCTGACTGCCATGCATGGGTGTTCAGACATGATATGTAGAACAATCCTTAATGGAATAATGTTTCACTCAGGGTAGAGCTCTATCAAAATGGGACTTGATAAAGCTCTACACAGAACAATATTGTCTTTATTCCCATGCTTGGTCATTATTAGTTTGCTAATCAAAGGGAGTTTTGATAATTATTAAAAATATTTCACGAGACTGTCAATTTCAAATTGCCCTTTTGACAAATTTTCAATATTAACCAATTCTAATTTCCTGGTTTGATCAATTGGAATATAAATATAATTATATTATTGATACTTCCTGTATGTTAATTTATTTTTTATACAATTTTAACATCATACGCTGTCACATAAATGTGTTTTTTTCATCCAGAAATATGGCTTGGACATTATTGCAGAGAGGAACTGCAAGCAAATTTATACAACCAAAGTCAGGCAAGTAGCTGGGTCAGTGAAGTCACTGAAGTAGGGGGAGAGCGTACTGGTTCTTCCGATGATGTGGCTATGCAAGATGAATTGGGTTACAGGTTTGGCTAAACTGAAAACTCTCCTTGATTCTGTTGGATTGCATTTTGCGTATGGATTAGCATAGCTTCCAGGCATCTGTGTCGTGCTTCGTCCGTCTCCCTTACAATCTGCTGGGCATCTTTCCAAGATTTTAGATAGAAGGACACATGCAACATTTTATTGTGGTAATGTTTTGCTCTCCAGGAGAGCAAAATGTTGCCACAGTAAAATGCTGCATCAGTTGCACATTTTTTTTTTTTCAACACGTTGGTTATCTCCCACCGAGGCAGGGTGACCCAAAAAGAAAGAAAATCCGCAAAAAGAAAATACTCTCATCATCATTCAACACTTTCACCTCACTCATACATAATCAATGTCTTTGCAGAGGTGCTCAGATACAACAGTTTAGAAGTCCCTCCAAACTGTCAATATCCCAAACCCCTCCTTTCAAGTGCAGGCATTGTACTTCCCATTTCCAGGACTCAAGTCCAGCTAACCTGTTTCCCTAAAAAGCCCTTCACTAAATATTACCCTGTTCACACTCCAACAGCTTGTCAGGTCCCAAAAATCATTCGTCTCAATTCACTCCTATCTAACATACTCACACATACTTGCTGAAAGTCTAGGCCCCTTGCCCACAAAACCTCCTTTTCCCCCTCCCTCCAACCTCTTCAAGCATGACCCGTACCTCACCTTCCTTCCCCTACAGATTTATACACTTTTCAAGTCATTCTACTTTGATCCATTCTCTCTAAATGACCAAACCACCTCAACAACCCCTCTTCAGCCCTCTGACTAATACTTTTAGTAACTCCACACCTCCTAATTTCCGCACTCCGAATTCTCTGCATAATATTTACACCACACATTGCCCTTAGGTAGGACATCTCCACTGCCTCCAGCCACCTCCTTGCTGCAGCATTTACAACCCAAGCTTCACACCCATATAAGAGTGTTGGTACCAATATATGTACTTTCATGCATTCCTCTCTCTGCGTCCCTAGATAATGTTTTTGTCTCCACAGATACCTCAACGCACCACTCACCTTTTATCCTTCATCAGTTCTATGGTTAAACTCATCCTTCATAAACTCATCTGCTGACAAGTCAACTCCCAAATATCTGAAAACATTTACTTCTTCCATACTCCCTCTCGCCATTGTGATATCCAATTTTTCTTTATCTGAATCGTTTGATATCCTCATCACCTTATTCTATGTTCACTTTCAACTTTCAACCTTTACACACCCTCCCAAACTCGTCCACTAACCTTTGCAATTTTTCTTTAGAATCTCAGTGTGTCCTTTTAAATATTTGTTTTTTTCGTTGAATCGGCCGTATCTTACTGAGATAGAGTGACCTTAAAAGAAAAATGAAAGTTTTCCTTCTTAAATTTAGTAATTTATACAGGAGAAGGGGTTACTAGCCCCTTGCTCCTGGCATTTTAGTTGCCTCTTACAACACACATAGCTTACAGAGGAAGAATTCTTCACCTCCCCATGGGGATTTATTTAACATATTGTTGTTAATTCTACCAACATCATTGCAATCTTTCTAAGACATTACTTGTGCAGTCTGGTCTGTATGTATCCTGCAGGTGGTATGCTTGTTGTGAGTCCTACAGGCACACTGGTGTTCTTTCTGCCTAATCTGTAGGCTGTGGGAGGTATCTCCATGTATTTCTTGTCAAAACCTCGAAGTGGAATGATGTAGTCACTTGTATCGTTATGGTTTTCTCAGTTGTCTTTTTACCTGGTTAAGTTTTTGATGTTGCTGGATATGACTTTGGCAGCAGCTTTTGGTGATTGTGGGAGGAGGCCTGGTCACAGACCGGGCCGCGGGGGCGTTGACCCCCGGAACTCTCTCCAGGTAAACAGTGTAGCTTGTAGGAAGGATGAGTGTGTTACTGCCTGGTTTCTGTGAAGTGGGGATTTTGTATGCACAATCTCTGGAGTCCCGGATAGCGTGTGCAGGAAAATTTAGCATCTAGAAGATGTCTAAAAATTTTGCTCTCTTCCTTGAGATATTCAGGGTGGAGATCTTGTAGACAAAAACATACCATTTAGTTTTTTGATCATTGTATGAATAGTAGTGTATATAGCCATTTTTTTTTTGTTTAGTTGTTTGTATACTTTGAATCTGAGGTGGCTATTCTTTAATTAGAAGATTGTCTAGAAAAGGATGGCTATCATTAGTTTCTTCTAGGGTGAATTGAGTGGATACTTCCTTACTGAGGCTGTTCTTGAGGTTATCTAGGTTGAGCATTTTGGGGGTAAACAGAATATCATCCATGTAGTGAAGCCATGTGACCATTTTGGGTATATACACACATAACCTGCACATTGGAGACAAACTCATGGGTATATATTGGTGAATCTTTCCACCTAGCCATTCTATATACAGATTTGCCAAAACGACATCGATTAGTGGGCTTATGGCCATGTCAGATTTTTGTTTGTATAGGGACTGGCAGAAAGAATAATGAGTTCAGTAAATTTCACAAAATCTTAGCAAGTTACAGGCAGTTCCATGTCTGTCCTTAGCTTGCAGCGCATTAATTCATTGGTTGGTTGGTAGAGACTCGGACAAAGAAGGAAGTTTAGCATTGGGTTTTACCAAACATCACTTCATCTTCACCAGAGTCTGAGTCCCCCACTGACCAAGCCATTATTACACCACAAGCTAAGGCCAGACAAGGACCTACCTGTACCTTGCTAACATTTTGCAAAATTAGCTAAAGTCTGAATCAAGTTTGTTAAAAATTTCTTTTACCAACAAAAATTTGGCATGGCCATGGGCTCCCTAATCAGTGTCATGCTGGTGAATCTGTATACTGAATCACTGGAAGCCAAAAGATTCACCAACATCACACCCAAAATGGTCACAGGGCTCTACTATCTGGACAATATCACTCCCATAAGGCTCAACTTAGATAACCTCAAGAACAGCCTCAACATTGTGGAACTCTCCATATAATTCACTCTAGAAGAAGCTGATAATGGAAAGTCTTCCTTTCCTCTACATACTTCTCAGTAAACACGACAACCACCTCAGAATTATAGTACAGTATACTGAAACCCAGTCAATAAGAATGATGTACAATACTGTTTACTCTAAGACCAAAGAACTGATTGAGGTGTGCATATTGGCATGTTTTTACATGCCTACAGGATCTGTAGCCCTGAATATCAGGAGGAAGTGTGCAACATTCTTAGAGACATCTTCCAGGTACTAAGATTTCCTGCACACACCATCCAGGAATGCAGGGATTGTGTATATGAAACCCTCACTTCACAGAAACCAGAGAGCAACACACGTTCACCCTTATCATAAGTCACACTGCAGGATATATTACACCAATCCTCACCAAAAGCAACACAGGTGTTGCCATTATCATATCCAGCACCATCAAACCCTTGACCAGGCAAAAAGACAGCTGTTCAGATTGTAACACAGGTGTTTATATCTTTGAGGTATGGTGGGAGTGATTTCCCATAGCCTGCAGATCAAATTACAAAAACAGTCTGCAGGACTCTCATGTTAACACCTGCATGATGCACAGGGATCAGACTTCACACCTGAGGTCTTGGATAGAAGCCTTGCTAGTCAGACCTAATGAACAAAATGCAACAGATGCCTGCAAGCTGTGCTAATCCACACACAAAATACAGTTTAACAGAATCAAAGAGCTTTCAGTTTGGTCCACACCTGTAGCCCAGTTCATTTACATAACCAAATTGTCAGAAGAACCAGCAGGCCCTCCCTTGTAGTTTTACCTTACAGTTCACCCACAGTGACCTCACTCACCTGACATGTATAAATTTGTAGAATATTTTAAAGTTCCTCTGCAGTTTTTTCACCACTTTGTGCCATTTGTTTCCACTAGTCTCAGAATTCTGGGCGTACTCACCTATATGTGGTTGGAGGGGCCGAGTCACAGCTCTTGGCCCTGCCTGTTTGCTGGCATACAAGTGTCCAGTTATTATAATATTCATAGAAAAGCTCTGGAGGGGGCTTATGCCACCTCAGGAATTCTTTCCTTTATAACTCTATGTAAGGTTACAGTACAATCTTGCTTAGCCCTGGAGGGGGAAGAGGGGTTCAAGGGTCAGCACCCCTGTAGCCCATTAACATTCCACTATATAAATTGTGCAGGGATTTTCAAATTCCAGACTTTTGCAAGACATTTGATTCTGAACATTACTCGAATGTTTTTACGACACTTGATAGGTAACCCATACTGAACTCGAAGAATATCCAGGGAGCCACACAAATCCTGTACTAGTTCCATGGCCCAATTTGGGAACGGTGGTTCTAATTAATAACAAATTGATCATATATGTTAGAAGTATTACTATAATGCTAAGTGATAAACCCACAAGGGCCATATAGTGCTGTATGTTGGTAGTAATTGTACATATTATATCAGAATTACATGCATAGTTTTAAAATGGAGAATGACTGTAAATTGCATGGAAAAAATAAATAGGTGTATATTCATCAACAATGGGGAATTTGTCAATGAGAATATTTGTTCTTACTGTTGTAAGAGTATGAAGCAGTTCCTGGTGTGCGAGACTGAAAATTGATTTACATGCCTATCACATTAATTTAGGATAGTGGATGCTTTCACATGTGGAACACAACTTGCAGGCTTGTCTTAAATCCTGGCAGACTGAAAATTGGTTCACAGTCAAATTTTACTTCAGGCTGTCTGAAGGCCTGACAGTTAGGTTAGGTAAGGTTCATCAGGAAACAGGATGAGTGTTTCCTTATGCAAGTCTTAGTCATATGGTGATCTGCAGCTGGAGCTTTTGGTCATCTGACCAAGGCCTTCCGCTAGCTTACTGGTCCACCTGACAGTTTTCTGACATTTCATTGACCTATCGCCCAATAATCTGGACGGTCATCTTGGCTTCTCTGTTCCTGTATGTGTCTGCAGCCTGAACCTCTAGAGTGAAATGGGCTCATGCTTGTGGGACTTGCAATCCCTTTTGTACAGGAGTCAACAGTTGCAAATACCGAGGTCAAGCATTGCATGTCTGTTGGCCCTCAGAGGAGTCTTGTAGAGGTGTGTGTGTGTGCATGTCACCTTTGTCTATGCCATCTTGAAGTTGTCTATAATTCCTTGTATCGAGTTTAAATGCATTCCATGTCCCCATGATACAATCTTATTGATGTACAGGTAACAGAAATACAGAAAAGAAAGCATATATAACAAAACATCAGAGAACTTCATCCAAAATGACAGTGAAAGAACTAGAAAATTAAATCTTTAAAAATAATAAGTATTAAATACTTTTTTTTAGCACACTGACAGTCTCCCATTGAGGCACGGTGACTCAAAAAAGAAGAAATGCTTTCATAAAGTTTTTCTTATTTTTACATTTAGTAATTTACACAAAAGGGGTTACTAGTCCCTTGCTCCTGGCATTTTGGTCACCTCCTACGACATGCATGACTTACGGAGGGAGGAGGATTCTTCTCTGCTTCTCCATGGACATTAAATACTATGCCTTCCATTTAACAGTTTCATACCCAAACCAAAAAAAAAAAAAAAAAAAAAAAAAAAAAAAAAAAAAAAAAAGCAATTGAAACTTGTATATATGCTACCAATTCAGAGTTTCAGAGTCATGTACCTATATATCTGTTATATCTATGTGACTCTGATGGGTTAGTATTATACCCCTTCAAGAATATTCTATTATTTCACATACACTTTTTAAATTGCACCAAAGTGGTTGTGTCACTTAACTTTTATATCCTACCTCACTCCCCCCTCCCACCCTTTTCCAATATTTCTATCCTTACCCATCCTTCTTCCTTACCCATCTTACCCATCCTTCTTCCTTACCCATCTTACCAAAGACTCTGGTCATAAGAATCGAATTGAAACCATCAAGAAATTTAAAAGCAAGCCATTTAATAATTTTAGAACCTCAAACCATAAATACAGTAATTTAAGTGCCATTTAACAAATTAAAAGTCTATACATAAGTGCAGTATTTAAAAGTTTAAATGCCAGCCTTTTAATAATTTGAAAACCAAAATATAAATAAATGCAATATTTAATTACCTGTCCTCTCTATTGTGAGCTTTTTCAACATCTGCATCATCCTATGCAAGCTCACTGGTACAATAAGAGTCAAGTACATTACCAACTGCAGAGCTCCAACCCTGATATCGCTATCACCTCTTGGCGCTCCTTGTTTGTAGAAAATCCCGGAGTTGGTCTGGAAAGAGATCATGTATGCAATCACTATCAGCATGTAATTGTTGTCTTCAAACTAGCCATGTAGTCTTTCACTATCATCCATGATAGCCAAAATAAGAAACATGTGTGATGGCACTTGTAATAAAATATTAATTGGGTGAAAATTGACTTCACTGTCACTTATGCATGGCTGCCCATACGTTGGTCCAAGAGCCAAATACTGTACTGGACTTGACGCTTCTTCAGAAATATAGTTTCGAGTCCAACATAGAACATTTTATCAAGCTCTAATGTTTTCCTGATTTAATTAATGTCAGAATTTAAATATGGCCATTTGCCTATGTCGTAAATTTCTTGAATTTACCTACATGGTGTAAGGTGTGGTTCAAGACATTTTTTTCTTTTTGATATAGTGCTCCACATGTACTCCTCGCTTTCAGCCCAAGAGGGTTATATGGGACTGATTGGTCCTAATAGGAAGAAGAGTGCCTCTATTGGCTCGACCTTACATTATGGCCTCTCCTCACTTAGTGATGTACTTGTTTACCGATGACTTGGACTTATGATGGGCTCTCTGACCAGTATGCATAACTAAATAATGTACATTAGAGCTGATTTCCTCTATTCTGCTTATTACATATGTACAGTACTTCTGTATAAACATTTAAAAATATACCAGAAATGTTATAAATGTTGGAAAGATGACATTAAGAGAATATCAAAGATGGTTGACACAAACCTACTACCGTTATAATATGCTCCTCACTTAGTGACGAATTTGTTTACCGATGTGGTCTTAGGAAAGGAACTCTGTCATTAAGTGAGGAGAGGCTGTACTTGGATCCTGTGCCATGGTTGGCCTCAGGAAACCTGCAAAGTTAGCTAAAATAATAAGTTCTAGATCCAAAGAACACTGTAGAATAAATGTAATAAAGTACGCATTTTCAGGGAATAATATCAATCGTAATTTCTTTCCTGTAAATCTAAAAAGAGATACTGTTGGTCAGTTTCATAAATAACACAATATTATAAAAGTCCATCAATGTGGACTTGTTTAGACTTGGTCAGTGGTTCTAAAGTTAACAAAATATAGTATTGTGTTTGGATATAATTTTATAACTCAACATGCAGCACTGTATGACCCTGGTGGGTTTAGCACTTAGTTCTGATTTATAATAATAATAATATAAGTCAACATGTGTGATGGAAATTTTGTATTGTGTAGTGGCAGATATCTTTTTATTTTTATCCTGGGCAAATTACAAAGAAAGGGCATTATGATGCTATTGAAATTTGAGTTTGTGTTTATGTTACAGAATTTCATCCTTCAATGAAGGTAATTGATCCAGGGAATTTTAATCTTTGGTGCTTCCCCATAAATATATTTAATTTCAAGTGATGCAACACTCACAAGGAACGTACATTTAATATAGCGACATAACATACCACAGTACATTGTTGTCTTTTATAAATTTGACAATAAATATTAAGATGGAAAAGTGTGTTTGTCATTACATGATGCTAAAGACTTGAAGCAAATTTAAAAATTAAAATTTTCAGCTACTGAATCATGAAAATTTTATAATCTGATGTATTTGTAACCAAGTGAAAATGAGTTTTTAAAAATAGACTAATAACCTGTGACCTGACTTGGGAGATGCCCAACTAACAGTTGATGACTTATATCACAGGACTTTAATATAATCAGTGAGTATTTTGGTACTTGGTTCATCACTAATTTTTTGAAGTTGCAGAATAGTTGCAGCTGATCATGGCCTTGTCAATTCCCCATATGTTTTTCCTGACCAGTGCTGCTTCTGTCTATAAAGACAAGTTCTGCTTCATTATAATAATGATATACAGTGCTGGCAAGATGAGAAATTAAGACGTGCAGGAATCTGAATATCTATTGGAAGAAGTTTCCCCAACCAGTGGATTTATCAAGTCAGTATAGAGGTGATATTGGACAACAGAAGATGAGGTAATCTTTCAGCACTGCAGAGCTATACACAGAAGGCAGTAGGTCAGATGAGGTGATCAGTCCCTCAGCCTGGAAGCCAAGCAGCCGTTCAGTACCTTAAGTCTTGATGACTAAGGTACTGAATATCAGTTTCCAGTATCATGGATTGATTATCTGATCTGCTGTCTTCTGTGTATAGTTCTACAAGGTTGAGGGACTAATGACCATATCTTCTGTTATCTAATATCTCTGTATTGACTTGATAAAGCCACTGGTTGGCAGAAAGTCTTCAAATGAAGATACTGATATGTTGCACATGTTAAGGTCCTCAGTCCTTCCCTGACTACGCTAGTCAAGGCCACTAAATCCAGAAAATTGTAGCTAGCATCCTCTTAGATCAAACCTGGTTACCTTCCATTCCCCCAGGTGCCCAATGACCCATGTGGGTTTAATGCTTACTAGGGACTTTGCTTTCCTAATGGCCTGTTCTAGTTATTGTACTACTCTAATGTGAATCACACAGCTGCTGCTTTTTTGGCATTTTGTGATCTATTGGGCTGAGTATGTTCTTGTGAATAGAATAATACCCCTCAACCGAGGTTGCTTGACCCAAATGACGGGCTCTTGATCCATGAAATTGGATCTGACCTCCCTTTCCATGGATCATGTCTAATTATCTCCCATCCCCAATCTGTATGTGTTCCCCCTACCGGTTTACTGCGCCACCCCATGAGTGTAATATATTCATAGTTATCTCATAAATGGTCCTAAAATGCCACAAGACTGAGGGAAGTGGTGCAACAAATAAACTTTAGCTAATGAGGAAAGCTAACACTGGTATAATAGGTCAGTTTCAGTCAAAAAGTCAAGTGTCTGAACTGAAAGTTGAGTATCCTTAAAGAAGAGCAAGGAACGTGAGAGTGCCCAGGTGCTGAAATTACATCTAAAATGAACCTTACAGTCTGATAAATAATTCAGTTAATCATAAGGTGTTAGACTGTCAATAAAACTTGAGAAGTTGCACAAAGAGGTGCCAGATGCCTCTCCATGCGATAGCCGTGTCAGTATTGAAGGACCGAGTTTAGCACTCCCCCCCCCAGATTAAAAAAAAAAGTGAAGGGTCGATACGCCGTCATGCAAGAACTGTGTCCCAAATGCGACAATGAAAAGAAGCCTATCAAGAACTCAACTTTGTTTTAATCAAGCAGAATTTTTTGTCTTCTAACCTGGACCTGTGATGTTGCCATTAATCATGAATCCTAACCATACCCCGGCCGGGATTGAACCCGCGGTCAGAGAGTCTCAAAACTCCAGCCCGTCGCGTTAGCCACTAGACCAGCTAGCCACAATACTCTCTGACTGCGGGTTCAATCCCGGCCGGGGTATGGTTTGTTTGCAATCGTGTCATTACGATTTCGTGAGTCATGAATCCTCTTGGACAAAACTGGAAAATAATCATTATAGAGTATATCCCCTGTGAGAGATGGACAGGTCTTGGGCTGCTCAACATGCAGTCTGCAAGTTCATTGCACTGGAAGCATGCAGTATTGTAGCTATTAGAAAACATGCTCATTTGAATATCAAACATATCACCAAAAATATGAGCCTAGCAAAGTCAACTGTTGGTTGGATTCTGAAACCCAATGACCAGGGACCCAGCAAAAGGTTTGTCTTTATGCTGGAAGAAGCTACACAGCCAGCATTGTTGTATACGAAGAACTAAGACGTACGAACTTATACTCCTGGATAACTTTTTGGTATTTTCAGAGCATTTGGACTGTCTGGATAGCTTTTAGTGCTATTTTAGAGTGAAACAATGAATAAGGTGGACATGGTTGCAATTTGTAGAAGAGCAACGAGCACTAGGACTGTCTTGAGAGCAAATCTAACACCTGCTGCACATGTTACCTAGCAGATACTCCCATGTTGTGGGGATGGACCTGGCAAAAACCCCAACAG